ATGTTGGCAACAAATGTACAAATGTGCTTGACACAATGGATGGATGTATGGATTGTGATAAGCATTGTATGAGCCCCCAATAATATATATATATTTAAAGTGAGCTTCCCTAAGCTCTTAAGAATAACTGAATACAGTTAAATGAAATTTTAAAAAATCACTTCAACAGAGGAGGCCTCACCTCAGCTTGGGTCAGTTCCTCAAGAGGAGGGGAAAGGGAAAAGACCAATCAGTTGTTGTCATATAGCACTGTTCCAACCCCCAATCAAAAGACACTCCTACAAGACTGATAAAGGAACCTTACTGGAAATTTAAGCCAAGGTGTGTGGGGGTGGGGTGGGGGGTGACATATATGTTTCCAAGAATGTGATTACACTTCCATTGGTGAGTAAATGGGGATGGAGCGACCTGCCATGGGGAGGAAAAATGCTTATCCATACTTACATAGACCCTAAGGGAAGAACACTCCCGATATTATGTTCCCAATCAGACACTTTTGACCAACATTCTATCCAGCCCTTGGCCACCCAGGTCATGTGCTATAGACCACTGAGATTTTAGATACTGTCCTTTTCAGGCATACATACTCTTTATAGGGTCCACCAGAAGGATTCCCCGCTAAGTGAACTGGGGTTTACCTCAAACTCACCTGTAGCAGATTTAAGGAACTTACATACTCTCTTGGACTGCCTTAGTGTGGCAAGAAGGTGATGGCCAGTGTCTTACGGTTATGGAATTGGTGATTATTGGACTTGAGTTCAGATCTATTGCTTTGTGGATGCCCAATGAGTGTGGTCTGGGACTACCATAGATTTATTATTCCAATGTTTTCTGTACTTTTTAGGCATGTATTAGTCTGGCAGGCATGATTATGCTTTTGAGAGTGAGTGTTATTGAAAGTTTTGACCTATTCCCAACCCTCATTGTTCATGTAAGTGGTATCCAGTCACTTAAGCTTTTAACCTTGACAAATCAACAATTTATAAATTATGGTCTGAAAAGCTGGCCAATATATGTATAATTTTCTCAACAAAGTTTTAAATTCTATACCATTGGCAAATGAATGGTATTATCAATAAGCAAGTGTTTTAACAGGTAGTACAAATAGTTAACATACATGACTGTTAACGGAATCACTGGAGGGTTGAGTTCAAGCAGAGGGTGTCTTGAGAAAGATCTGGCAACCTACTTCCCAAAAAATCAGCCACGGAAAACTTAGAGCACAGTTCTCTGACATATACGAGGTTGCTATAAGGGATACTGAGTTAGTTAATTGTGCCAGCCTGGCCAATAATCACATGTGGGCCTGGTTGAAAGGCGGAGGGATAAATGGGTGGTGAAGCCTCGCCTTTCTAGTTCTCGGGTCTCTTGTTTTGTGATGGTTGCACCGGGTGTAGCTGCCTTAGCAGTTCCCTGCTTCAGCTTGCAAGATTGACTTCCTACAAGACATCCCCAAGGAGAAGCTACATGGACCTATCCCGATGCAGCCCTGGGTGCTGGAGCAGCCGTGTGGAGACCCCTGCTAGTGCTGAGATGCTTGTTCGTTCACTGACTCAGCTTTCCTCCTGCAGTCGGCATCATTGCCTCTGTTTTGTGAGGTGGAGGACTTTGTGGACTGGTGTTGGGTTAATGGGTTAATGTTGGACTTGTGGGCTTGGGCAGCATTGGATTGGGATGTTTTCGTGATGCACATTTTCTTTGCATAAAACTCTCTCTTATACGTGAGTTGCTGTGGATTTGTTTCTCCAAAGTACCTAGACTAAGACAGATACATAAACCAACAACAACTAGGTTGGTCTACTATAAATTAATACTTTTATAGGTATCCCCAGACTTATGATACCATTTTATAATAAACCACACTTATGACCATGCAGTTTTATGTTTTGGGTTATTTAAGAAGCACGTACTCTGCTTTAGTGTTCTTTGCTTTATTGCAATTCTCAAGTGTTGCATTGTTTACAAATTGCAGTTTCCTAACACCCCAGTGTCTAGCAAGTCTCTTGGCACGATGTCCCCGCAGAATGTGCTCACTTTGTGTGTTTGTGTCACATTTTGGTGAGTTTCATGATCTTTCAGACTTTTTCATCTTGCTATTACACATTCAATAGACTTACGTGCAGTGTCAACATCCAGACACAACATTTATACAGAGAAACAAAAAAATTACGACTTGTTTTATTGTGATATTTACTTTATTGTGGTGGAAGCTAAACCCCAAATATCGCTGAAGGACGCCTGTGCGGTTCTACATGACCTGTTGCAGTATATAATTTACGGATGTGATCATTCTCATGTGTTAATTCTCAGATACTCAATTTTATGCTTTACTCCTCAAAATACTACTGTATAGATCTAGTTTTCCAAACTCAAACAGGGGGGCTCCATTGGCTTGACAACATGGACCAAACATGGATTTTTGTACTAAAATCAGTCAGCAGTTTCAGGAAGCAGTGAGACGTTACTGTAGAATGCAGGAAGAAAACAGAAAAGGGCTCTACAGACAACTCTCACTAGTTTTCTGATTAGAACACCCTCCCCATGACCATTCACATGGACAATTCAGATGATCCAGCACCTTCCACAAATTGAGGTACTCTGCACCTGACAACATGTCAACGTTGTCAAACTTTCTTCATTGTCAAAGTAAATTTTTCTAATTTGTATGTTTTTACGTATTACATGTATATTAAAATATAACTATACCTTTATGTGGAATGTTTCCCACATATGAAGACAAATTAACATTGACTTTATAAAGATATGATCATTAAAAATAATGAAAACATTAAATGAGATATTAGAACTGACATAATGGAGACATAAGAATGGAAGTCAATTATGAGTTGGGGGTCTACCTTCCTTTTCTTCTTTCAAGATCATTAAAGAATATTAAAATATACATAGATTTTAAACTTCACAGACATCATTATTACCCGAGCTGTCAGTATTCACTGAGATTTACCCACTCCTTGATGTCCTTTATTTTTTTCACGCATCTTCATCCCATCTGGGATCACTTACCTTTTCTAAAAGACACACTTGAGTATTTTGATTAGTGTATATCTGCTGGTAACTAATTTTATCCATTTTGGTTGTGTAATTTTACTTTGAATTATGGAAAATATTTTCCTTGGAAGTAGAATTGTAAACTGGTCGTTATTTCTTCTGATATTTAATCCCTTGTTTTCTAGCTTGTACTCTTCTGTGTAGACTCCAGGGCTAACTCCATTTCAAATCCTTTGGGATGATTTTGGCTCTGAGGACTTAGGAATTTATTTCCCTTCAAGTTGCCCTCTATCTGCTTTTAACAATTTCTCTATCTTTGTCAATCAACAAATTTACCCTGATATGCCAATGTGTTGTTTTGTTTTTATTTACTCTGCTTGGATTTCATAAGTCACTTTGAATCTATGGGTTGATGTTTTTTAAAATTTATTTTTATATGTAGTAAATCCATTATTTCCTTTTTCACACAATCTCCAAGTATCCATATTTTAGATCTTCCTCACTCAATCCCTATTTATTCTAGAATTTTACCTATTCCTCATATTAAAAATAATTTTTGAATTATAATTTTAGTTTTCTCAACTAGCTTTATACTAGATTTAATCTGAAAGTGTACTTACTGTTGAGTTCTCAGTTTCACGTTGTTGGCGCTCTGCTCCAGTTATCATGAACGTAGTTTGAAGTCTGTGTCTGGTATCTCTAAAGACTTCATCTGAAGTACTTTGGACGTGTCATCTGGAGCGACCACCTATCTTGTCCAGATACACATGCACAGACAATAATATGTGCATAAACGAAGCAGAGCAAAACATAACAAAAAAGAAGACAAAGAATAAATTAACAACAGCTAATACAAAAAAAAAAAGAAAGAAAGAAAGAACGAAAAACCAACAGCAAAACTGAAAAGCCCTCAAACAGTTCAGGTCTGTCCGTTGGCCTTTATGAGTGTTTTCCAGCTGAGTCTGCTGGGCTGCCATGCCCTGGCCCCCAAGTTCGCCTTTGGCATTCCTTCGGGACTCTGTTGCTTTGCTCCCTTTGTTGCTCCGCTGTACACCCTTCATGTTCACCCCGGTGCAGTGGGGTTGCATCAGGCACATCTCCCACACCGTGTCCCCAGTGTTGTCCCCCTTAGTGCTATATGTATGTGAGGGGCACGTCGTCATGTCTTATGATGTGATCCTCTGTGCATTGGCTGTTCTGAGCCAGAATATTGACCTCAGGGTTTGGTGGGCCGGGGTGAGTTCCATTCTCTCCTTCCTTCTTCGTTTGCTCCTGATCAGATGCGCCCCACTTCAACAGGTAGATTCTTAAGCAGATACACTGACACCACGGCTGCAACAATGGGCTTGGCCATAACAACAATTTTAAGAATGGCACAGGATCGGTTAGAGGTTTGTCTTGTTGAGTATAGGGCCCCTGTCAGAATCTTCTCAACAGCATCTATCAACTTATCATTTTCAGTCTTTTGTTTTATGTTATCTACTTATGTGTCATTTTTATTAAGTGTTAGGAATCACATGTGAAAGATTGAGAATGAAATATAGGCCACTATTATCTTCAACTGGAAGAAGGTTATATTGCTTTTGGGCTCAGAGGGTTAGCAATCTGAGATCATCTTAACCCAATTTTAGGAGTTCAGATTATTTCCATGTAGGTTTCAGTTCCTGCAAAGACTAGCTTCACTTCCGTTCACCATTCACCCCACGGTGTGGCTGTTCAGGGTTCTCATACGAAGTGTCTGCGTGCTACCACTCCTCATCTTCCTTGACAGGGTGACTTCATTTCTAAGGCTGCAACTACACAATACCACAACGCGAGTGGCTTCTGAAAACAAAATGTCTTGTGGTTCTGGAAGCTATTCTCCCAAACTCAAGGTTCCAGCAGACTCATGCTCTCACCTGAAGCTCTGGGAGGTCCTTTGGCGTCTCTAAGTTTCTAAGCATTCATTCCTTGGCTTGTAGCTGCACATTACGCCATAGTCAAACGGCCAATCTCTCTGTTTCTCTTCTCCTCTGAGAGAAGAAACCTCTACGATTGCATTAGACCCACCCTATTCATGTCCACTTAACTGATACCATCTTCCAAAACCCGATTTCCAATACAGGCCTTGGTCAGAGGTTCTAGAGATTAGAGCTCTTGGTATCTCTTTATTTGGTGGGGAAACAATAGCCTACATTGAAAATGACCTCATTCTTCTACCACTCACAGTGAATTAAATTGGTTACTTTGGAGATCTAGCTTGTACTGTTGATTAGAGAGTACATTCACCCATTCCAAGATGTCCACTGCAAAAGATACCACTAACATCTTAGAAGAAGTATAGACAGAGTGCTCCTTAGAATCAAGGATGGTAAGACTTTGTCTCTAGTACTTGGGACATATTGTCAGGAGAGACCAGTGCCTGGAAAGGACATTATGCTTGCTAAAGTAGAGGAGCAGCAAACAGGAGAGACATCAGCAATATGGATTAACACAGGGGCTGCAACAATGGGCTCAAGCATAAGAATAATTGTGAGGATGGAGCAGGACTGTGCAGTTTTGTTCTCTTGTGCGTAGGGGTGGCCAGGAGTAGGAAATGACTTGAGGTCACTTAACAACAACAACAACAAAGCACCACATAATCAACAAGAAGGTAGGACTTCTAGGAGCTAGCAACTTTGAAAATAGTTTACTCTTTTAAAACATGTGTAGAACTTTTAAACAAGAAGCAAATAACCCATTCAAACATGGGCAAAGGACTTGAATAGATATTTCACCAAAAAGGATACTCAGATGGTCACCAAACACATGAAAGCCCCTCAATATGATTAGCCATCTGAGAGATGCGCATCACGACCACAATAAGATAGCAGTTCACTCCAATTTATCCAAGTATTCAACAAATTCATAAGATCTGGATGGTAGCTTTTTCCCTATGCCCCCTTTTCATTTTTAAGCTTACCTCAGCGGACTCCTGCTATACTTGTCCGTTTGTGCTTGTCTTACTTCGCTTAGCATAATTTCCTCCAATTCTTCCCATGCAGCATGAGGTCTGGGTTCGATGGCAGGGGCCAGACTCGATCCAGGGATACATATGGCAGGTAACTAAAAATGAGGGGAAAAGGAAGGAAGAAAGGAAAAAAAAAGAAAAAATAAAGACATGGGTTGCGGGGGAACTGAGCACTGACCCACTCAAGAGGAAGGTATTGTTTATATTTCCACAAGAGAGGGAGAGAGCCCGGCATTCTATGATGCTCACCTTCCTGACATGATCACTGAAGACAAAATGGGTGCATAAGCAAATGTGGTGAAGAAAACTGGTGATGCCAGCTATCAAAAGATATAGTATCTGGGGTTTTAAGGCTTGGAGATAAACAAGCAACCATCTAGCTGAGAAGTAACAAAGCCACATGGAAGAAGCACACCAGCCTGTGTTATGGGATCAGGTATCAGGTATCAAAGACCCAGAACAAAAAAATCATTTATCACTGGGAATTAGGGAGAGTGTGGAGTGGAGACCCAAAGTCCCTCTGCAGACAATTGGACATCCCCTTACAGAAGGGTCACAAGAAGAGAAGAACCAGTCAGGGTGCAGTATAGCACCAATGAAACATACAACTTTCCTCTAGTTCTTTAATGCTTCTTCCCCACCCCTACCCCCCACTATCATGATCCCAATTGTACCTTACAAATCTGGCTAAACTAGAGCATGTACAGATAAGAGCTCGAAACACAGAGAATCCAGAACAGATAAACTCTTCAGGAACAATAATGAAAGTAGCGATACCAGGAGGGTAAGGGGAAGGTGGGGGGAGAGAAAGGGGAAACTGATCACAGTGATCTACATATAAACCCCTCCCAGGGGGGTGGACAACAGAAACATGGGTGAAGGGAGACATCGTTCAGTGTAAGACATGAAAAAAAAAGATAAATTATCAAGAGTTCATGAGGGAGGGAGGGGAGGAGAGGGGGAAAAGGGGAAAAGAGAGATGAAGGAGGAGGAGAAGACCTAAATAGTATTATATCATTCAAAGACAGCACCTTTTATTATGAGAGATTTTTTATAATTGAAGATAAAATTTTGTTTAAACAAAAAACAGACAAACAAAAGGGCACACAAAGAACTCATTTTTACTGCAACCAGCAAAAGACAAGAGTTCCAATTTTTCCAAACCCTTACCCTAGTATTTTTTATTTCTATTTTTTAAATTTGTTTGTTTTGGTTTGGATTTATCTTCACTGAGGGCCCACTGGAATCTTAGTGTGGATCCATGTGCCTTTCTTTGATGCCGAATGAGTGTACCTGGTGGAAGAGTGGTTATGCATTCAGCTGCTGCCTGAATGGTTGTTGGTTCAAAGTCACCAACTGCTTCAAAGGGGGAAGATGTGACAGTTTGATTTTGAAATGATTCGTGGCCTAGGAAAATCTGTTGGGCAATTCTACCCTGTACTAATAAGGTCACTGTAAGCTGGAATCAGCTCAGTTGCAGTAGGTTTGTTTGTTTGAATGGCTAATGACGTTGGGTATCTTTTCATGTGTTTGGTGATGACTTGAATGTCTTCTTTTCTCAAATATTAGTTCAAGTTGTTTGCCCATTTGATTATTTGCCTTTTTATTGTTAATCATATAACCCAGCAATTCTTACCCCAGGTAGATACACAGAAGATTTGAATGCAGAGACTCAAACAGAGACTTGCACATAGTTCCTTGCAGCACTATTCACATCAATGGATGAATGGATAGACAATCTATGTATGTATGTATGTATGTATGTGGCACATACATAGAATAAAACACTACCCGACCTGTAAAAAAAAAAAAAAAAGACCTAGATGTCTCTTTTCTCCTAGGAATAATTACCAGACTCAATCATTAGATTCCTTAGGGAAGAGCTGGTTACATTACTGCCTTTGTGTTCAGGGAATATTTCTTTTTATTTTTTTTCTTAACCAGTGATGGCAGCATGGTACAGAGCTGCCTCACCTTCTCAGTCCTCCACCAGGGAATATTTCTTCAGGGGGAGGTGGTCATTCTCCCAATGGATAGGCTCTGAATATGTCACATAGCTCAGGTGTAAAGCAGGCCAGGGAGTGTGATCTTCTATTGGGACCAATTAGCTCAGCTTTCTGTCCAACTGTTCATTCTTTTGGGGGTTGTGGGGGTTCATTTTATATAATTATGCAACCTTCACCAAAATCCCATTTTAGAACATTTGTATCCCCACATCCCCTTAAGCCCATTTGTAATCAATCTTTACTTCCTCCTTAAGTCCCAAACAAACGTTGATCTGATTTCTGACTATAATTTTGTCTCTTGTGGTACTTTATAGGAGAGTACTCATTCAAGTATTGACAAGAAAGGATATTGCTTTGAGGGCTAAGGTGAACATGGTCCAAACCAGGCTTTTTTCTATTGCTTCTCATGCATGTGAAATTTGGGCATTGAATAAGGAAGTCTGAAGAAGAATCGATGCTTTTGAATTGTGGTGCTGGCGAAGAATTTGTAAAGTACCATGGTCTGCCAAAAAGAAGACATTTGTCTTGGAAGAAGTATGGTCAGGGTGCTCCTCAGAGGCAAGAACGGTGAGACTTCACCTTACATACTTTAGACATGTCAGGAGAGACCAGTCCCTGGAGAAGGACGTCATGCCCCGTAAAGTGGAAGGTCAGCAAAAGCGAGGAAGGGCCTCAAGGAGATGGATCGACACAGCGGCGGCAACAACCCACTGAAGCATGGGAACAACTGTGAGGATGACCCAGGACTGCGCAATGTTTCATGCTACTGTGCACAGGGTTGCTATGGGTCAGAACTACATGGGCACCCCGTATAGATGGAATCACAGGTCTTCTTTTACACATCACTTCTCTTTTGTATAATGGTTTTGCAAGTGATACATTTTGAAGCCCATATCAATATTGTGCTCTTTTTTGTTACTGCATATTATCCTGTTGTTTGGATACACATTGTTTATTCAGGCACCATTTATTTTGGACTGTTTCTACTTTTAGGATATTATGAATAGGGCTGCTCTAAACACGTATGTACAAGTCTGAACATATTTTCATGTCTTGTGTGTCCATACCTAGGTGTTGAATGTAGTATATCAATATTTACTTTTTTTAATAATGAAATTTATTTATTTAGTTATTTTTTTTAAAAGAAATATCCAAACTGTTTTCCAGTGTGGCTATACCATGTACATTCCTCCTACCAATAGAGTAAGGGGTTCCATACTGACAGCATCCTTGCCAATCCTCCCCACTATTGTGTCTGCTCACTAGGCCCTGGTGGTGCAGGAGTTCCGTGCTGGGTGCGATTTTCATGTCTGTAGTGAGAAACCGGCAGCTCTGAGAGAGAAAGACGGGGCTTTCTAGTCCCATAAACAGTTCCAGTCTCAGAAACGTCCCACAGGGGGGTCACTGGGAGTCAGTATTGACTCCGCGGCAGTGAGTTCAATTTTTCAGAGTCGTTCTAGTGGATGTGTAGTGTCTCATTGTGATTTTAATTCAAATTTCACAAGTAATTAGAGGTCTTGATTACTCTTTCATATGCTTCCAGTAATTTGTTGATCTCCTTAGTGAAATGCTGATGTAAGCCATTTGTCCTTTTTAATCAATTTATTGGGGCTCATA